CAGTCAATCATGGAAAACACGTGCATTACACACCATTGTACTTCTGCATTCAGAAATCATTCAGGATCATGTGTAAAACTCTTGAGTCTTGAGTTTGACCAAGCTGTGAAAAGCTCCTGTGTGCCAGAGTGTAAACTCTGGTCAATGATCATTTCCTGCACGTAACGTCTGGGTCTGGTCCCAGTGTCTGCAGTTACATCAGATGAATCCCATACGACCAATCAGAGAGCGGGGGAGGCGGGAGTTGTAGGTAACTGTGGGTGATGTCGAGAGTTTGAACAGAATAGCCAGATTGTTGTTTGGTGAAGAATGTGACAGTAAAGTAATCCGTTCTGGTTCTGTCAAGATATTAAAGAGGAATGTTTAGCAAATGTGATCGCTGGTAAAGATGGTGGCGCTACTGCCCACGGGCTCCGCTAGCGGCAAAGGAGATGGCTAAAGCTAAATGCTAAATGCTAGCCACTCACCCATATTACATACATCACAGTAAACTCAGATCCAAAATCCAGACCTTAGTACGAAATGTAGTTTGTACAATGGTGTGGTACGACCGGGCTACATTAAAACACCTGGAAATGGTCTCAGCAGGAGCGTGGAGTGAAGCGTGACTCAGAATTACAACAGCTGCTTCTTTCAAATCAGGTCTAACAAAAGCCTCAAAGGGGAATCCATGTGTTAAAATGGGCAACACAGAAAGATTAATGTTGTAACTGTTAATCAAAGCTAATGACATCTTCTTGTGCGCCTCTCATTAATGAAACTGTTGTGTCCTCTCTGCCTCTCGGTGGGCAGTCCCCATCGGCTGACCACTCGTATCCATTGTTCTTTCACAGACATGACCGCTCTCATGACCGCTCCGTCACGATAATCACTCAATACAATCGCTGCTCCATGTTCTCCACAGCCTTTTGTTTGTGTCTGAAATCCCAAACTCTGGTCGTGTGCCTCGCAATAACACGGCTGTTGATCCATAGTGAATCCAGGAGGTAAACTCTTCACAAAAGGCGTATGATGAAGTAACAATGAGAGCGTTTACAAAGCAGAAGTCAGAGCACACTCAAAACTCAATTGGATGGAAATATCAAACAGGTCTGATGAGTTTTGGTCCTGTCTCTGCACCGTTCAGAGGAGAATTAGTTTATTGTTTTTGCCATTATAAAAATTTGAAGAAAAACATCTACAGATGAGGATTAAATAATGCAATAATGACAAGAGACGGACTGAGGCGGATCAGGGAACAGATGGTGAGGTCAGTTCTTGACAGGAGGCAGGAAAGACTGCAGGCAGGCTGGTAACTGGACAAAAGGTAAACACAAATACTTATTCACAAAACAGGAGCCAAACTACAACTGACTTAGAGCGACAGACAAACTGGCAGTGTCCTGCTGGAAAGCCATTGCTTTTGAATTGTGTTGATTCTTGTCTGTAGCCGGCTGTGCTGCCCTGCACTCTGGAGCTGCCACGTCGCAAACACACACGCACCCAAACCAAAGGCAAACACACACGCACACATGCACACACGCACACATGCACACACAGGGGAGGGGGAGAGTAGAACAGGAGAAAGCCATAGGAGTCCAAACTGTGACGTCATGTGTTCCAGTGCTCTACATGAAGATGTTCTGCAGAAGCCTCACTTGCACTTTGTGTCACGTAGGTGAATGAGGCCCAAAATGCAAAACTGCCAAAAAATTATGGTTTAATAAAAAGATAAAACAAATCCAAAACCACAGAGAACGAGGACATAACTAAAACAGACTAAGAAAGACAATGACGGAACAGGGAGTGAAGGAACACACAGGAGAAGGAACACACGTGGAGCCGGGGCCGGGACGTGGAGCCGGGGCCGGGACGTGGAGCCGGGGACGTGGAGCCGGGGCCGGGAGCCGAAGAGCTGGAGCAGGAACTGGAGCCAGGACTGGAGCCAAACGGGTACAGAAGGCCCCCTGGATGGAGAACAATATCCAGCGGAGCCAGGTCAGGAACGGAAGCCTGCAACCACCCAGGACGGAGCTAAGTGTCCTGCAGTGGTCCAGGACACAGACAGACAGGGAATGCGTCCAGCTCCTGCAGCAACTGTCAAGACCAGTCGGGGACAAAGATGGGCCAGAGATGACAAAAAATAAAAAACAAAAATAAAGCAGTCTGCTTGGGCCTTGAGTGGTTCCGTCATTCTGTCACGTAGGTGAAAAACAAATGAGGCCCAAAAGGCAAAAACTGCAAAATGATGGATTTAATGAAAGTAATACAAATCAAAACCTACCAAAAACACAGGGAACGGACAGAACTAAAACAGACTAGGAAAGACAATGACGGAACAGGGAGTGAAGGAACACACAGGGCTAAATACAAGACTAAAGGCGCGTTCAGACCAAAAGCTTCAAAAAGCTTTTGACGCGCTTCAACTGACGCCGGGATAGTTTTGTCATTTTGGTGCTTGAAGCTTTTGACGCGAGTGACGCGCCTGACGCCGGTGGGAGGAGCTTCTCTGTTGCCTGTGGGAGGAGCTTCTCTGTTGTCTGTGGGAGGAGCTTCTCTGTTGCCTGTGGGAGGAGCTTCTCTGTTGCCGGTGGGAGGAGCTTCTCTGTTGTCTGTGGGAGGAGCTTCTCTGTTGCCTGTGGGAGGAGCTTCTCTGTTGTCTGTAGTCAGGACAGCGGTGGATTTTTCAATGAGCAGCGAGCCTTTATTTGTTATATAAAGCAAAATAACGTTGTTGTAGGGCTTCAACAAAACATGTTCTGGGTTCACCACAGACTTGAGAGGCTGCAGTGTTTGCAGAGTTCCGTCATTTACTCCAGGAGCTGCGTACGGAGGAGTTTCGCTTTCAGCGGTACTTCCACATGTCACTCACCCAGTCTGAGTTCTCAAACCCCGGCTCTCGCCTCTCCCTGCCTCGCTCTCGCCTCTCCCTGCCTCTCCTCGGTTCTCGCTCGCCTCTCCCCGCCTCTCCCCGGCTCTCGCTCACCTCTCCCTGCCTCTCCCTGCCTCTCCCCGGCTCTCGCTCGCCTCTTCCTGCCTCTCCCCGGCTCTCGCCCGCCCGGAGCTGCCTTGCTCTGAGCCAGACTCATCGTCAGCCTGTTCTTATTTTAAATAAACTACGTTTACTACACAGCATGTGTACAATGATTTTTGTTACTCAGAACGTTACTACTCATACAAATAATATTACTAATAACAATAATGACAATAAAACAACAGCAGCAGATACATGACTTCTCTCCATGACAGAGACAGGCCCTCTGCTGCTCCTCGTCTCCTGATTGGTTGAAGCCCGCGTCAGAGCTTCAAAAGCTCAGCTTTGCTCAGCTTCGGCGTCAGAGGGATTGTTGTGATACGCGAGCGTTTCGCGCGTCAAAAGCTTCAAGTGAGCGCGTAGTACGCGCGACTCTTGAAGCTTTTGACGCGCGTCAAGTGACGCCGGGGCTCTCGGCTTCACCTGACGCGCTTCACCATTCACTTTCAATGGAAACCTGACGCTTTTGACGCCGAAGTTAAGTCCGGTGTGAACGCCCCTTAACGAGACACAGGTGAGACAGATGAGGGCAGGGCAGGTAATCAGACAACAGGAAGTACAACCAAAGAAGACACAGGGATAACACATTTCAAAATAAAACAGGAAATAAACTTAAACCATGACACTTTGTTTTGGTCAAATGTGGAACAACTTAGATCTTATTTATCTGCAACTATAACAGTTGTGATTTCATAGTAATCCTCTGGTCAGGACGGCGGTGTTAGCATGCAGCACTGTTAGCCATGCAGCAGTTTTAGCATGTAGCAGACCCAAGTCCAAGTATAGTTTGAACATTTGAGAAAACACTTTTTAGCTGTCATTTCCAAACACGTTGTATTTCTTTTGAATTTACTCATATTGAATAAAATATGTGTATATCTATTGCAAAAGCTAATGTTATAGAAAACTTTTAGTAAAGCAATCTGAATTAACATCTAAGAGTTATAAGTGTAAGTTATTAACTGATTCAAATACAGCACATGTGACCTGTTGGCGGCAGGTCAGTGATAGATGGAGACGTGTTT